AACCCGGCGTGCTCCGTCCCGGCTTTGTAGGGATGCGAGGTCAATGGTCTAACGACTACGGCATGCACGACTATGAGTACACCCCCCCCCGGTCTCCTCTCTTCCGCGTCACCTCTTCCTCGTCGGTCTCCTCGTCGTCCTCCTCGTCGCTAACCGCCTCTCCCGTGAACCAGAGCACGGCGTTTGGGATCAGGTGGTTCCTGAAGATCCGCGCCACTTCGTAGTCCATCTCGAAACTGAAGTTGTACTGTTGAGAGAGGCAAAAAAAAAAAAACACAGAGATGGCCGGAGGGGCAAAAACAAGACAGATTTTTTTGGGGGGGGGGTGTAAGTTCAATATGTGGTATGTACCGAAGTTGTACTGTTGAGAGAGGCCAAGAAAAAAAAAAACGCAGAGATGGCCGGAGGGGCAAAAACAAGACAGATTTTTTTGGGGGGGGGGGGTAAGTTCAATATGTGGTATGTACCGAAGTTGTACTACTGCGGTAAGGTAAAAAAAAAATGTAGAAACAGCCAAAGGGTGACAACATAATTGCAAACCAACACCAGAACTGAAAATTGCGAACCAAGAAACACGAAATAAAAAAACATACAAAAAAATGTAACTCTGTTTACGGTCTGCCGAGTGAAGTTTGTTTCGCCCGCCTGCTTGGTTGGACAAAGGGCATGCTCCAATCTATCGTTATCCTTCGACTTCAACTCTTGGATTTGGTTCTTGAGGGAAGATACATAGAATCGCCTTGGCACTTTTGCACCCAAGTTACAACAACCGTGGAGACCGAACAACTTAGGTGCTTAAGGGAAATTAACCTCAGAAGAGGTGGAGGGGGGCGGGGGGCTTAAGCATGGAGGGGCCGAGAAATAGGGAATTCCCTACAATGCTTTTTTCGGTGAAATAGTGTGCTCATTTGATAGGGCAAGCTTGCAGTCTTTTTTTGGGCCAATTGCTCGAAAAAAAATGCCCAAAACTGTCGTTTACGCTCGTGTTTCGACTAATCATGGTAGATTCGCCAAAAATGCTCGACTTGTGATCAAATTTTCATTGTGACTTTATGTTTGTTAACGCCCGAGTATAGTGGGCAAGGCCCCACCGAGAGAGCATGCATGATCCCGGTACCTCTTGAATCAACTAATACTTGCCTCTCCGTGCCCGTTTGGCTCTCGAAACACACGTAACAGAACAAGCTCGACTCGCCCCTTCCCTTCCCTTCCCACACCCGATAGGATAGGATAGGATAGGATAGGATAGGATAGGATAGGATAGGATAGGATAGGATAGGATAGGATAGGGAACACATTCCTGAGCCACCTTTGGCAAAGTAGGAAGGAGCGACTAAATAGCCATCGGTGATTGGTCCTGTGGGGACAATGCTCCGTGCTCTGGGGGGCGCGTCGTCAATTGTCTAGCCTAACAACTAAGGCATGCAAAACACTAGTACGCCCCCGCACCCCGCACCCCGCTGAATTCCAGGGACTTGCAACTCTCACCCCCCCGGTAGAGACTGGACCCACTGTTGAGAAAGCGTCGTAGAGGTCAGCAGCACCCTACCCTAACCGCGACGCACACACTCAAACATCTGCCAATGCAAGGCCACACCGAGCCTCACCTCATCCTCGTCCTCTTCATCATCCTCGTCTTCGTACATGACCGGGTTTTGGAAGAACTTGAAGAAGCTTTCCGTCTTCTCCACCTGTTTCGTTATCGTTCCGGTACATGTAATGTACCATGGTACAGGATTTGTCAGCGGGTTTCCGTGAAACCTCTCCTTTTCTTCCCGCACGACGGAAAAAAAAAGGTTTGAAAGAACTTGAAGAAGATTTCCGTCTTGTCCACCTCTTCTTCTATCGTTCCGGTACATGTGGACGGGATTTGTCAGCGGGTTTCCGTGAAACCTAAAGGTGCCGGAATCAAACCGTTAGACTAGTCAGCTCAGCGCTGACAAGTCTAATGGTAACCTATCCTCTCCTTTCTTTCCTTCACGCACGACAGGAAAAGAAGGGTGTTACAGGTCGAGAGAGAGAAGAAGATCCTTCCGGAGCTTCGGTTTGAGCACCCGCGATTGGACACAACGACAACAACTCTAGCAGGGGATAACACCACCCTGAAAGACTTGTCGACGCTCGAATCCTACGGGACGAACAAAAGAACTGTGACTTTCTGCTCTCTCCCCTTCGTGGTTGCCGATGGGAACACCCAGCCGAAGTTCATCGAAAAAAATATTAAAAACTATTTTCGGCGGAGCAACCCTGAAGGAAAAGAAGCGAGGCCGAAAGTCATCTTGCCGAATGGGAGGGAGGGTGGGAGGGTGTGTGTGCTCATGTAAATCCATGCCGTAGTCGTCAGACCATTGACCTCGCATCCTTACAACGCCGGCAGGCTCAAAACGTTACATAAGGACGAAACAGAAGACCGTGGTCATCACCCTTGGGCAATCCAGACGTGCCATGCCGG